TCTCACTGTTCATATCTAGACATCATCTATCTATCTATCTATCTATCTATCTATCTATCTTTTAAAAACGATGGAACAGTTCTAAAAACAGTTCTTTAAAAATTCCATTCATATCAATAGATTCATCCAAGCTAAATCTTCCATTATAAAAGTAAATTCAGGTTTGTATCTATCTATCTTTAAATCAAATTTATCTGTGTATCTATCTATGTCCATCTTTCTATCTATTTTATATCTATCTTATCTATCTTAAATTAATTCTGAAGATTCAAATATATTTATTTAACATTAATCATCAGAATTTTATCTATCTATCTATCATATCTATATCCATATCTTAAATATATATTTATATATATCTATCTATATATATCTATCTATCTATCTATCTATCTTTAATTGAACTGTTCATATTCTATAGATAGATAGATAGATAGAGTAAATTGATTTAGATAGATAGATAGATATGAACAGATAGATAGATACATATATATTTTTTTCACATTTTTTATGTTTATACCTTCTATCTATCTATCTTTAAAATCCAATTTATCCCTATCTATCTATTCTATCAGGAAACGAACCTATCTATCATATCCTATCTATCTATCTTAAATCCAATTTATTTTACTATTTTATCTATCTTCGATGAATATCATTCATCTATCTATCTATTATCATTCTGTTTTATCATCTATCGTTAATTCTGTTTTTTGACATCTATTCATCCATCTATCTATCTCACTCTGTCTTAGATCTATCTTTGTCCATTTTCATATAGATCTGTCTATCGTTAATTCTCTTTATATCTATCTACCTATATATCTAACGTTAATTCTGTTCATATATATCTATGTCTCTATCTATCGATAATTCTGTTTTATCTACTGTTAATTCTGTTCACGATAGATCTATTCACCCATCTATCTGTCGTTAATTCTGTTCATATCTATAGATCTATAAAAAACTATATTAGATAGAAATGGATAAAGATAGAGTAAAATATTTTAAGACATTTTAGATGTTATACATTCTTTTATAGATACATTTACTTAAAGATAGAGCATTTACTAGATAAATATTTGTAGATAGAAAAAAAGAATGATATATACATAAAAATGTCTTAAAAATAACTGTAGGATTTGTTCATTAGATAATGATAATAGATAGACAGAATTTTTTTTTACATTTTGATACGAATTGAGATAGATATGAATGCACATGAGAGATTCATCGAAGATTGTACAGTTTAGAAATAGCAGTAAAATAGCAGTAAAATCGAACTTGCTATCTGTAGGATAAATCTTGCCTCTGTGATAGATAAATCGGTTAAAGGCACGTCAGGCTAGATAGATAGATAGATAGATAGATTTTAGATAGATACAGGTTATAGTTTCCTGTCAGAGGACGAATATTTTCTTTATTAGAATTTAGATCGGACTGATTTTACGCCGGTAAATGTAGTTTAATACTGTTTATTATAAAACAATGAGCATTTAGAAAAGAAAGAGAGAGAGAGATTGTATCTATGGATAGATCAAGAACTGGTAGATAATACATAAAATAGTCTTAAAATATCTATATATTGCCGGAGTGTCCGTCTATCGGTATCTAAGATAATTCTGTTCATTGAATCCATCTGTTTGTCTCTTTGTTTTTTCTATTCAGAATCTACCTATCTATCTATCTATCTATCGCTGTCGGTAATTCTGTTCATATCTATCTATCTATCTATCTATCTATCTATCCTATCTTTTGCAGATTACATTAATCTATCTAAATCATGCCAGTTCACCTCTATTCTATCTAGCTATCTCAGTCTGCTCTAATCTATCTCAGTTCGTTCCATCTATCTTCTATCTATCATTTTTTCATATATATATGTATATATATATATATATATATATATATATATATAAATATCTTCAGCAAATATATGGATATAAATCCGACAGTATGAAAGAAAAATACAGAAAAAAATGAATGTCTTGAACTGAAATTCTGAATATGCATTATTAATGTTAAAAATAAAGTCGACGTCGGACGTTTCGGTCTATTTAAGACCATCTTTTTGGACATTTTACATTTAAACATAATTAACATTATAACTCTGTTCTATTTAATAATTTAACACAAAAGACGATGGACATAAGAGCCCAACTAATTCACACAGATAAAAAGTTGATTTATATCCATTTTCAGGCTTACAAAAACAATAATCTAAGCATAAATTATGTTTAAAAATGTAGATTCAAAATTGGGGGAAGGAAGAGAGAAAAACAAAAGGATATCTATTCAGAATGGGAGAAGGTAATGGAGATAGGGAAAGAAGAAGGATATATATTCAAAGCCGAGAAAAGCGAGAGAGAGAGAGAGAGAGAGAGAGAAAGAAATCTGTTTAAACTGATATATCGAAGACGTAGTGATGGGCGCGGACATGTTGACTTTATTATTCCGGATGTGCACAGTGAAGTAGAAGGGGATCGTCAAATGGTGGTGGTGGGGGGGTAGAGGAAAGAGACAAAGTGAACGAAAGAAAAAGAAAGGAAAGAGAAAGAAAGGGAACGAGAGATAAGGCTTGAAACCACCAAACTTCTGTGTACAATTGAATGTAGTCATTCACGATTTTGACTCTTTTGTATTTTTAATAATAATAATAATGATAATAGTAATAATAATAATAATATCCTGGCTTGAAGCAATAGGGTGTCTATCCACACTGATGAGCTTTGAAACAGCGAAACAGTCTGTCTGTGGATAACATACATATATATATATATATATATATATATATATATATATATATATATATATATATATACAAATGAGAGAAAGAACAGATGGAATAAAATTTCAACGTTCGTAGCATTTACTTTTTTTAAAAAGTGCTCAATACAAAGTAGAGTAATATCGTATTATTATTATTTTTATTATAAGGTTGAAATCTCTACACAAAAGCTTTCATGTTTCAATACTATAATTGTACTTCTTCAGGCGACGGTAAGTATATCTATCTATCTATCTTTTATATATATATATATATATATATATATATATATATATATATATATATATATATATATGTATACATCACGTTGAATTCGGGATATATATATCCCGTCGAATTATATATATATACTGTATGTTGTGACACATTTATTTGCAAAAGTTATCTGTGCGTCGTGGTATATTATTCTTTCATTCTTTCAGTTGGCTTGTACCTGGAGGGAAAGTTTCTGTCCAATTATCGCACTGACAAGTTTAAGATGCCCAATAACTTATCGACAGTTGGTGCTTATTACCTCCCCTGACTATTGTCGATATATAGTGTACTTTTATCGTAGTACATTACTAATGAAAATACGAAACGAAGATTAATATAAAGAGACAGAAAGGTACAAATGAATAAGACAGGCTGTTACATAGGAAGAGAACGTGCTAGAGAGAGAGAGAGAGAGAGAGAGAGAGAGATGGAGAGAAAAAGAGCGTGAGAAATATATAAACAGTAGGTAAAAAGATAGATTACATAGATCGATTAAAATTGTGCACCACGCAGATGCACAAACTTATACGCCTGCAAACACACACGCATACACACAGATGGACACACTGAGAGAGACAGTAGTCTGGGTTAAGTAGACGCGCATGCTCTGTGAAATAGAACAACGGATTAGTGAATGGCGCATAATTCTGTTTGCGCATGCGTGTATTTATCTTGTTATAACACCGAGAAAGATCAGATGGTAATATGCGACACTACTTGACACGAAGACCCGAACTGTCACCACAGCCATAACCATCGGCTTTTCAAGATGGGGGAACATCTTTTAAGTTACTGCTTTTCTTCCGGCTGTCGATATTTCCAGATGCTTTGCACTGTCTATATGCCTTCCCTCTCTCTATTTCTCCCCATTTCTCTTTCTTTCTTTCTTTCTTTCTTTCTTTCTTTGCCTATTTCTTCTACTCTTTTTTTCTATCGCTCTCTTTCTCTTCTTCTTCCTTCGTTTTCCCCTCTCTCTCTTCTCATCCTTTCTTTATTTCCTTCTCTTACACTTCTCGTCCTCCACTTTTCTTTCTTCCCCTCTCTCACTTCAATTCATGCTTTCCTCCTTTTCCTTTCTCTCTTCTGCACATCCTCCTATCCTTCTTTAATTTATTTCACGTCTCCTCTAACTCCCTCTAACCATTTTCTTCTTCTTCTTCTTCTTCTTCTTCTTCTTCTTCTTCTTCCCCTCCCGTCTGTTTTTTCTTTCTTTATCCTCTCCATTTCTTTTCCACTGTCTTTCAATTATCCCTTTCACATTCCCTCTCATTTCTTTCTTTTATCATTTCTAATCTTTCTTCTTTTTTCTTCTTTCTTTTTCTTTCTTTTCTTTTTCTTTCTTTTCTTTCTTTGTTTTTCTTTTCTTTCTTCATTCCTAATCTTTCTTTCTTTCTTTCTTTCTTTCTTTGTATCATTCCTAATCTTTCTTTCTTTCTTTCTTTCTTTCTTTCTTTCTTTCTTTGTATCATTCCTAATCTTTCTTTCTTTCTTTCTTTGTATCATTCCTAATCTTTCTTTCTTTCTTTCTTTCCTAATCTTTTTTTTTCTTTCTTTTTATCATTCCCTAATCTTTTCTTTTTCTTTCTTTCTTTCCTAATCTTTCTTTCTTTCTTTCTTTCTTTCTTTCTTTCTTTCTTTCTTTCCTAATCTTTCTTTCTTTCTTTCTTTCTTTCTTTCTTTCTTTCTTTCTTTCTTTCCTAATCTTTCTTTCTTTCTTTCTTTTTCTTCTTTCTTTTCTTTCATTTAATCTTTCTTTCTTTCTTTTCTTTCTTTCTTTCTTTCCTAATCTTTCTGTCTTTCTTTCTTGCTTTCTTTTCTAATCTTTCTTTCTTTGTATCATTCCTAATCTTTCTTTCTTTTTTCTTTCTTTCTTTTCTTTGTATCATTCCTAATCTTTCTTTCTTTCTTTCTTTCTTTCTTTCTTTCTTTCTTTCTTTCTTTGTATCATTCCTAATCTTTCTTTCTTTCTTTCTTTGTATCATTCCTAATCTTTCTTTCTTTCTTTCTTTCTTTCTTTGTATCATTCCTAATCTTTCTTTCTTTCTTTCTTTCTTTCTTTCTTTCTTTTTCATTTCCTAATTTTCTTTCTTTTTTTCTTTCTTTTTTTTCTTTCTTTCCTAATCTTTTCATTTCCTAATCTTTTATCTTTCTTTCTTTCTTTGTATCATTTCCTAATCTTTTCTTTCTTTCTTTCTCTTTCTTTTTCTTTCTTTCTTTCCTTTCTTTTCTTTTCTTTTTTCTTTCTTTTTTCTTTCATTCCTTTCTTTTCTTTCTTTCTTTCTTTTTCTTTTTTCTTTCTTTCTTTCTTTCTTTCTTTCTTTCTTTCTTTCTTCTTTCTTTGTTTCATTCCTAATCTTTCTTTCTTTCTTTCTTTCTTTCTTTGTAATCATTCTTTCTTTTCTTTTCTTTCTTTCTTTTTCTTTCTTTCTTTTCCTTCATTCCTTTCTTTCTTTCTTTTTTCTTTCTTTTTCTTTTTTTTTCTTTTCTTTTCTTTCTTTCTTTTTTCCTTTCTTTCTTTCTTTCCTAATCTTTCTGTCTTTCTTTCTTTCTTTCCTTCTTTCTTTCTTTCTTTCTTTCTTTCTTTTCCTAATCTTTCTTTTTCTTTTCTTTTTCTTTCTTTCTTTCTTTTTCCTAATTTTCTTTCTTTCCTAATCTTTCCTAATCTTTTCTTTTTTCTTTCTTTCTTTCTTTCTTTCCTTCTTTCTTTCTTTCCTAATCTTTCTGTCTTTCTTTCTTTCTTTCTTTCTTTCTTTCTTTCTTTCTTTCTTTCCTAATCTTTCTTTCTTTCTTTCTTTCTTTCTTTCTTTCTTTCTTTCTTTCCTAATCTTTCTTTCTTTCCTAATCTTTCTTTCTTTCTTTCTTTCTTTCTTTCTTTCTTTCTTTCTTTTTTCTTGTCTTATTCTTCGATTTTGTTATCCTATTTCCTTCTTCTTTAAATTTTTCTCTCCTTATTCATTCATATCCGCTTCATCTTTTTCTTCACCGTTTTCTTCTGCATATTCTTCCTGAAATTCTATATATCTCTTCCACGTTTTCTCAGTAATGAAAACACCTTTAATGGTCATGAGCAAATTCCAGACTATTGCTCATAAAAAAAAATCTATTTGTGACTTTAAATTCTACAAAAGGAAGCTTCATAAATTTAAGTTTATATTTATTTAAACATTATCATAATTTAGCTGGGTTTTTTTTGTCGTCATTTTCAGATTTACGGCCACAAAGTCGTCTGTTGATTACTTCAGGCTTAATTGAAAAATATGTTATCTTCCTTGGGAGAATTTCCACGGTTTTTTCCCCCCACATCGGAAAAGAAAACTTCCCTCAGACGTTGCATATCTGAGGATAGACTTTGATTAAATTAAAAATGACATTTTTATTTGAAGTTTTCGGATTAACCTTGTGAAAAAGTTAAATCTTTGGGCAAACCGACGTAAGGCGGATCCATTATATTGAAACTGTATCCTGTTTAAAACCATCTTTATTTTCGTCCAATTTTTTAAATAGTGTTCATCCGATACGATGCACAAGAGCCACTCAAGGTAGAGGGTTACCATGTGTTGTATGAGCATAAAAAAAGAACAAGTAGTGAAGTTATTAGGGACTAGGCGGGAAAAATAAGAGCTCACTCTGGACTTGAAGAGCGAGAGGTACGATAAATTTTCAGTCGGGAGTAACACTGGCCGCTCGATCAAATATCTGGCAAAGTAAATTGCAACATGGTGCTCTCTTTCTTACTGACACTACTATACTGTGTAGTCGACAAAATCAGAAAAAAATCCACGCGTGAAATTACAAATATACAATGGCGACAATTTACCCATCGCACATTGTATAAGGAAGCAGCTGAACCTGAAGTCTAGAGGTGTGATTGTCTCAGCACATCTGGCAACGTAACATCGGCACTGGCATCGAGAGTGGTAGAAATCATTGCAGTCTGCGATGATACTGACAAAGTTCCTTAAAATTTGAGGAAACTTTCACTCAGTCAATCTACAAAAATAACAAGCAAATATTACAAGACGTTGGAGATCACGTTTTTCCAAAATTTTTATTTTTTATTATCTATAATTTACCATTATCTTATAGCGATCACCATCACACACACATACACCTACACAAATTCAAATTTTCGATAGCAATTATTCATTGGACAGGAATCAACGCTACTGTCTTATGCGACAATTTTGAAATCGCTATATTTTCGTATAGTAGATTTTGTGCACTTTTGGGAGAATCGGCTCCCAGAAATCTCCCCAAATCTCATTCCCTGATTGGTCAGTATCGACCAATCAGATTCCCTGCACGTAGAGAATGATTCTTCCCGCGCGGCACTCCTGATCCAATGATCACCTATAAAAGCAAGAGAAAAGAGGAGACGCCCCAGTGAGACTTTAGCTGTCACAGGAATCCACGACAGTTGAAGCTATGCGCCGATCTTCTCACTCAACACACACAAA